TATATATAAAAGCAAGCTTGTTATTATCAAAGCTTGTACTGATAGTGTCAGGAAATATTTCTTTAAAGCATTACAATTGTGTTAGATCCTTAAGTCTAAGAGCAGCAGCAGATGCCAGAATGCAGACCTCACCCCGAGGAACCTGGAATGTGCAGACATGGGGTAGTTCCTTAAGAAAGCAGCGAGCACAGTTCATTTTCCTGGTGTTCTTTAACTCTTCTTTAAAGAACTTTTACTTCCACAACTGTCCTCGACCAAGTATTATTTAAAAGGTGTATATGACCAAGTAAGAACAAAGAGCGAAGGTGTGATCCCACAATTGAGGGAAAAGAAGAGCAGTCAACGTTCAGCTACACATCTTGGATTTTTTTCCCCACATACATGTATGTAAAAGTGTCTTACAGTGGATCCTTTGAAATTTATATATATGTCAAACATTTATTAATACAGGAAAATTGTAATAGTTTATCCAATACCAGACACTAATTAGTACATAAGATCAGCATAGTCATTTTAGATGGCTATTACATTTGCATAAATTGCACCTTTGGGCTTTTGTTTGCAATTGTTCACTATTATGAACAAGGGAAGTTTCTCCAATATTTTTTTCTTTGTGTTTTTGGAGGGATTTTGTTTTTGGTTGTTTGTTTGTTTTGATTTGATTTAGAACATTACCACATAGAAGGAACCGACAGATATTTGTTTACTCCTCCAACAGATATTTGGTTTTGATATTTGTGATAAAAGAGAAATGGTTAAGGCAAGATCTCCACTACCAACTAACCTTTAAGTCTGGAATAGAGACGAGAAATTCGAGGAGAGAAAAATACCCTCACTTAAGTAATCTAGTTTAAGGGAGTTGCTGGGTTAAGGACCAAATGACTATGTAATAAACCGCTTCCAGAAACCCGAACAACTAATAATTGTTACTTGTGTGTATTTAAAAAAAAAAAAAAATCTACCCACGACGACGTCTGCATTAGCCAGTGATGTAGGAGTAACAGAAAGCCAGGACGGGGCGCCCAACCTCCTCCCGGGCTCCAGGCGGAGAGGAAACCCTCTCCGGGGCCTCCTGGCGCCGGCGCTCGCCCGGGAACGGTCCCGCGCGGGGACGCCCGCCCTGCACACCCGCTTCTGTACTCCTTTCACGTCCGATGCCAGGCGGACTGAAAACAAACCTCCACCCTGCCGCCTGCTCTCGGAAAAGCCTGGGGGCCCGAGAGCGGCTTCGCCTAAGATCAAGCGCAGAGCCGCTTAGCTCAATGGTCAGAGCGTGGGTGGCAAACAAACTTCGTTACGTGTTCACTTGGAGCACCGCGGTTCTGGGAAAGGATCAAAGCGACCTTCCTAACAGTGCGCAGCGCTTCCCTCCATCACCCTCCCCGCCCCTTTCTTCCCTTTTTTCTTTTTTAAATAAAAATAACTGCTGCCGATGAGTAAGGAAGCGGGCTTTAAAGCCACGCGGGGAGTGCGAGCGAGCAGGGCGGTTCAGCAGGTGGCCAGCGGCCCGCGTCCCGGCCCACGGCCGAGCCAGCGCGCGGACTCCGCTCCACATCAATGGGAATCCCCCGTGGGAAAGGCGCCTCCCACCACGCCTGCGCTCGGACGCCCGGCCCATCTCCGCGCCCCGGGTGCCGCATCCCACCCCGGCTCCGCGCCGCGTTGCTCCACGCCCGCGGACGACTCTCCGTGCCGAGGGGCGGGGGCGCCGCCGCGGTGCGGGGGGGGGGGGCGGGAGCGGCGCGCGGGGAGGGGAAGGGGTTCTCGCGCGATTGGGCGAGGTTTCCGGTGTTGTGACTGAAACCCGTCAATATGGCGGCGATCGGCCGCGGCCGCTCGCTGAAGAACCTCCGAATACGAGGTAAAGCCCGCCGCCGCCCTCGCTACCCCGCGCGCTCGGTGCCCGCCACCGCGGTGCTCAACCTGCCCCGGGCCCTGGGGTGGGGGAGACGAGCTTGGGCGCTGGCCGCCGGCGGCCTGCGATGCTTCCTAACCGGGGCTTGTGTGTCTGTTTCGCACAGGGCGGAATGACAGCGGCGAGGAGAACGTCCCGCTGGATCTGACCCGAGGTAATGCGGGGCGCCGGCGGGGAGGCGCGGGAGCATGGGCCGGGGCCCGGGGCCCCGAGGCTAGGGTGGGCCGGCCAGCGAGCCACTCGCGGCGCCGGGGGCAGCGAGGGGCCGAGCCCGCGCCCATCCCCCTGCCCCGCGCCCGCTTCCCTCGGCTGAGCCCCTCCGGGCCTCGGGCGGCTGCGGGAGCGCAGGAGCTCGGGGCGGGCTCGGTGCAGCCAGCGACCCCGGGGCGCTCCGGACTACCACCCCCCTCGCTCGCCCGCTGGAACATTTCTTCTCCCATCACCGCTCCCGGGCCCCCGATCCCGGGGGCGGCCTGGGAGGAGGCGGGTGGGGGGGGTAGACGTTGTTATTTAGGTTACTGGAGGATGTTTGAGGGAAGAGCGACCACATCCTGCCCTCCCCGTCCCCCGGAGCAGATGCTGGACCTGCTGGGTTCTCGCTGACTGCGTTGTGGGCTTTGCCCTGTCCGCGCGCGCTCCTCCAGGGACCCGCGGCTTTGATAACTCGGAGGTGAAATCGAGAGCCGGTGATTAGGGCTAAGTGTCTGGTTTCTGCCGCGTCTCCCTGCTGCTTCCCTTTCCCGGGCCCGCCGGGTCTGGAGTTAGCTAGAGACCGCCCCCTCACTCTGCTGCAGGTTCATTGTGTACCTTCTGCAGCAGTGGGGCTGGGTTTGTTTACACCTTCACTGCGGGTTAGAGCTTTAAGAACTGTATCCGCCTAACGATCGGCGTTTCTTTCTTTGGTCACCGGCCACCAGACCGGTGTTTACTCCGCAATATCAGCCTGAAGCATTAGTAGTCACACGGTAGATTCTTTTCTCTTCCTCCATAAACAGGATTTGGTTTACAGAGTTCGGTGGTCATATTCCGCAGCGCCGTAGCTTAGGGTGTAACTAGTTCTGCTGAACAGATTCAGTTTTTGAGATCTGTGAAACGCTTCAGGAAGTTAAAAAAAAAAAGACGTAAACATTCTACGTGACAGAAGTTTGCTGTTGTTTTACCCTGTATTATACTCAATAAAGTAGTTGGTGGTTGTGGGGTATTGACAGCGTAATGCGTTCGTAGTTTTGATTTAAGACTTTCTGTGTAGACTGAGCAACCAGTTTTGATTCAGTTACATGAGTACATATTTGTTAGTATTTGGTTCCGATAGTTCAGGAAGTTAGGTTTTGAGTAAACAAGCCCTTTCAAAGGCAGAAACTTTAATAACATGCAGTGCAGTGGTATGTATATCCTGGAAATGGCACCTAATTACATCAGTGATTTGGAACTTTTTTTCCCCAGTGACTCGGTCTGAGAATCGGTATAGAAAAAGATCAGACTGTTGATTTTTTTTTGCAAATTTGTAAACTTAACATTACGTAGACATAAAAGTTTATACAAAGTAGATTTTCCAGCAAGCATTCTGATGAGGATCATAATACCGACCTGAGATTTAGCATTGCACTTTTCTAACTATGTAGTAGGTCAGTGATTTAATTTGTATTCAAGCAATTGAGATAAAAGAGCACTTGAGTAAACCTGATCCTAGTCTCTCCAGTAAAAACCTGCTTGGATGTGGTGTTGGAAATACATTGTAATTGTAGAGTATGTTGATTTTGTTAAACTCCTTTGTGTGGTTGGTGTCAGAATTTGGGTGTGTAGAAAAGCTTATTTGAGACCTGCCTCATTTCAGTTTGAAGTCAGGAAGGCAGATCTTTGTGTATTATTAAAAATAATCAGTTCTTGGAGAATTTAGTGAACACCTATGTAATAGAACTGTTTCTAGAATTATGTAAAATGCTCAGAAAATGGTTTTCACTTGCCCTGATAAAATGTACTCGAGTCCTAAATAAGTATACACAGCCAGTTGAAGCTGATCCCAAAAGCTGTACACAACCGAGAGAGAGAAGGTACATGGGAATTATAATCCTAAATCATAAGGAAGTTTATCCAAAAAAGAGTTAGTTCGTTATATTGTGAAACTGTTGACTAGAGAAAGTGTTATTTTGATGAATGTTTCATTGTTCAAAGGCTTGTGGATCACACACACGAAGAAAGTTCATGAAGGATTAAAGTTTGGTAATAATTTGAGACCAGTGAGGCAGTCCCAGTTGCAGCTGAATGACAGCTGCTTGTGGATCAGCTTACAATACGGAAAATGATAAAGTTTGAGCCACAAAATTTTTGTTTTGCTTAGTGCTACGGCAGTATTTGCTCTTATTCTAATTGTTTTGAGAAGTTCATTGTGTAGGTGGACAGCCATGTTCATCATACAGAGAGGTTATGATCATAGTAATCCCTGAAGGAGACTTCCACGTGTAGTTAAGAGCGCTCTTGTAAAGTCAGGTAATTCTGGATTGTAATCTCAGGGGCAGCAATAGTGAGGGTTTGGGGACAAGTTAATTGACCTTGCTTCCCTCCTGGTTTCTCCAACTGGGCGAAAAAAGTAGCTTTAGAGTGTAAGACTGTAAAAGGTCAATGAAGGTGGTTCTTAGTTACTCAGCATTGAATCTTGTAGTTTATGAGTAATCTTTAGTGTTAGTTGCTTCCCTGCATCGTGAAATTGGGATTCTTTAAATCATAGTTTTAAAAAAGCTTGGCAGGTGATTGTGTGTTTGCATGTACATGAGCAGATAGAGAGGCGCATGGGTGCATGTCTGTGTGGAAGCTGAGGACAGCCTAGGTGCTGCATTTCAGGAGCGCCTATTTATTTATTTATTTATTTACTTACAGGGGTTCTGGGTACTGAATTCCCTATGCTTGCAGCAAGCTCTGACACAACTATTTCCCAAGCCCCAAATTGTTCTCACTATCATAAATTCATTCAGGAATCAGAGAATTCCTTTTTGAGATAGTCTGCTTTATTAGTTGGGTGTATTTGAAGTAGAGTATTTGATGATAATGTGTTTCTGAAAAATAAATTTTTCATTTCAAAAGAGATCACAAGTCAAGTAAGGTGGTCCATGTTGTTAGTATCAGCATTTAGGAGGTGTAGAGAGCATTGTGAATTGGATGCCAGCCTGGGCTACGTGAGACCTGTCTCAAAAAAAAAAAAAAAAAGTTACCAACTAAGTTTACCTAAAGTTCAGTTTGTTGTATGTACTTAGGATTAGGTATGACATGACATTGTATTTTGTGAGCCTTAGACACTTTTTTAAATTAATCTTCTCATTTTAGTTGTTTGGATAGGAATGTGCTATATATTTTGTTATCCTCCTCCCATAGAAATGTTTTTAGTGACAATGAGTGGCTTGTATTATGTATGATTCTCCTGAGGTCCAGAAGAGTTTGGCTTGGGTACTGCTATTATTGCTATGGTTCAGACAGAATACCTCTATTAAAAATTATCGATGGACTAATTCTGACCTAGGAACTCATTTAGTTAGTCTTAAAGTTATGAGTAATTCTTGCATTCAGTTTTGTTCAGAAACCTATTCTACTTAATTTGTGAAAGTCCCAAAATTTGCTACTGATATCGTTAAATACTTCCTATATTTTGCATCAAAATGTATTTTTTAAAAACAAATGCAAACACCCAAATGTTTCATTTAACCTACGTCTACAGCAAGCATAGCTGCCGCCTTCTTCTTCTTCTTCTTCTTCTTCTTCTTCTTCTTCTTCTTCTTCTTCTTCTTCTTCTTCTTCTTCTTCTTCTTCTTCTTCTCCTTCTCCTCCTNTTCTTCTTCTTCTTCTTCTTCTTCTTCTTCTTCTTCTTCTTCTTCTTCTCCTTCTCCTCCTCCTCCTCCTCCTCCTCCTCCTCCTCCTCCTCCTCTTCCTTCTACTCCTCCTCCTCCTCCTATTCCCCCTCTTCTGGTACCGACTCAGACTTGAAAAGACAGTGTTGTATGAGAGTAAGCCCCTGTTAGTATAGTGTTAAAAATGTATTCCCAGAAAATGGACACTTCTGTATCAGTTATTATTAAAATTAATTTGTTAAAACTACTGAGTTTTACGTATTTTGAAAATTTAAATCCCTTTATTTTTCCATTAGAAGAATGAAATGCTGATGGTCGGTCCAGCTTGCTGTTTAGTATTTAGAAGAGCAGGAAGGCTATCTGAAATAGTGTGAATTTGAACATTTTTGTTTTCTAATTTCCCTTAGTTGGGAGGTTACTCATTTTTTTAATTGCTCACGAGTTAAAACAAACAAACATTGACAGAAATCTCTTATGTATCAGAAACTGAATTAAATGCTGGAGGAGTAGGAACGAGAAGGATGTTGTTCCTTTTAAAGAGTTTATTGGGGCTGACATAAAGAAGTGATTGTGGTAAGGAACAATAAGTACAGACTGTGTAAGGAACAGAGTGAGTGCCACAGCAGTCAGAAGAGAATGTGACTATCTGGTGGATTGGTGACCAGAGAAGCCTTCTAAAGGAATAAACTTCTCTTAAAAACAGTGACAGCGCGGAAGGAAATGTGGACTGTGGAGAATAACCCACACTTTTGGAAAGGGAAAGTCAGTAGATAGAGGAGCTAATACAATCTGAGAAATGCTAAAGGAGTAGATCAACGTTTAGCTACAGAAATGGAAACAAAGATGTATTAGAGTGAGGAAGTCAACTGATTTGCTTTTTCCCATTGAAAACTGATTCTGACCTTGTTAAAACTCCCTCTCCCCCCATTTTGGAAGCAGTCTTGCTGTTTATCCCTAGCTGGCCTGATTTTGAATGTGTGGTCCAGGCTGGCTTTGAACTTGAAGTAGACCTGCTTTGGCGTCAGTGTGGGATGACAACATGTGCTAGCACAGCCAGCTACTTTCATTTCTTTATGAAGAAGGTGACACCTGACAGACCTAATCACTCAGACTTACTTCTTGCCTAGAGTCAAACTGCATAGCATCTGTTTCTTTCCAGGAGTAGCTATACTCCTGATCAGAGTTCCTTCAGGAGGCTGTGGGGAACTATTTTCCTTTACTTTTTTTTTCTTCCGTCTTGTCAATTCAGTTTCCATATGCTTAGCAAACATTTGCTCTACCTTCATATGGGTAGCCTACTAGAGTGGGCATGGGCCAA